GCCTACTTTATTTTTTATGAATAAGGCCATTAAACTTTAACTTAATTGGTTTATGTTATGTAACAGACTATACGAATTTTCAGTTTATTTGAAGTGATGGACAAAATTGAATGATAGTAATCCATATAAGCAAAGAAAACTGGGTTGCCAATGGAAGATAAAACTTAAAAAGTGTGTTTTTTAAAAAGTATTCGATACTACGAGTACTTTGGAAAGTATCGAGTAAAATCGCCAAATAAGGTATCGAGTATTAAAGTACTCATTTTTATACCCTCAGTATCGATACTTACTAAATATCCATAGTATCGTTCGAACCCCAGTCGAAGGCATTCGATATGGCTCGTCGCTTGCGGCTCGGATGAAACGGTGGATAACCAGCAATCTGTGTAGCCGTCAGTCATCAGCTACGGTTGCCAGACGTACTGATTTTATCAGTACAGTACCGATTTTTCAACTCTTGTACTGATTTTATTCATTTCTTCAATCAGTACGCTAATGTCCTGATTTTTCAAAATTTGTACTGATTTGTACTGAATTTTCTATTCACTTTAGTATTTTCTTAAGGTTTTTACATAACGTTGGAACTTCCTTAAACTGTACTGTAAAAAATAAGAAGAAAATAATTTAATTATAGGTGACATGTTTTAGATAATGTTTGATATGCCCAAGAAATTAATACAACAAAAAGATCAATCGTTTTATGGGCATATCGCCGGGTCGTTACGTACCAGTTGTGATAATATGATGGAGCTTAAATTATTTAAAAAGAAGGCTTAAATTTTTGTCGAGTGTTGTTAGTTATCTCAAAAATAACTTTCAGTTTAATAACAATAAATTTCAATATTCGAATGGCTTTTGCCTATAACTTACAACTCCTTTTTCTCAATTTACTGACTTTGTAAAAGAGTTTTGCATACAAGACATAGAGTTAGATACTCTTTTTAGCGAATTCTTAGGGCTGGTTTCTCCAACTCAACTTAACTTAGTTAAGCCAATTCTCTTGACTTAGTCAAGAATAAGCTGTGTAAAACGTAGGCTAACTTTTGACTTAAGTCCGAAAAGTGGCTAAACTAAGTAAAGTAAGAATAACTAAGTAAGAATAAAGTTTGTTTCCAGGCGCAAAGAGAGAAACCGGCTTCTAATTACAATTTTTGAAAGTGAACTTCAAATTAAAAGTAATTTTAAAATGAAATGTATACATTTCTTTGACTATTTAAACACTGAAAATGGGAATGATCTCATTATTGCTATTCAAAAAGTCACAAATATAAAATAATTTATATGCTCCTGTGTATAATGATGCGTACACTCATGTTAAAATGAATAACACTTTTATTTTTTATGAACTATATTTTATTTATATACCAAAATATTGTTAAACACAAGAACTCAGGCGTTTTAAATTATTTTCTGTTACTTATATTCATTATTTTGCTTTGAATAAAAAGGTACTGAAAAGTACTGATTTTTTAGCATGAAAAAGTCGAATGTACTGATTTCGCGCATAAAAAATCTGGCAACCCTAGTCATCAGCTGAATTTTAAAACGCCAAGTCCTAGCCGCGTAAAATTAAACGGGAGGTCCCTCAAGGCGTCGTATTGTCCCCGACACTGTTTAATCACTACATGGCAAAAATCCCTCCGCCGCCAGCCGGAGTCAACTTGATAAGCTACGCTGATGATTGCACATTTATGGGGACAGGCTTAAACATCGACAGCCTTTACGATCAAATAACCGATCATCTCACCGATCTTTCTCATTTCATCACTGCAAGGAGCTTCAAAATCTCCGCCTCTAAATCTACCGCCACACTCTTCACAACCTGGAGCAAGAAGGTCAGGCTAGAATTGGACGTCTTCGTCGATGGTGCCAGAATATCGGTGACCAATCACCTCAAAATCCTGGGAGTGACGTTCGATAGCCGCTTCTCCTTCTCCGCGCACGCCTTAGCCACATGCAACAAACTTCGAAGAAGAAAGCCAACTGCCGGCGGTGAAAGAGCATAACACCACTCTGTCGAAGCAATGCCTCGTGGGATTCCACTGAGGTAACCACCCCAACAACGCCCTGCTTCGCAACCAACCGCCCCACGACATGTGAGACGACACCTCAACGACTGTGAGGAAACCAGACATCGATCCGTACGTAGACCATCCGTTCGACACAGCTTGATATAGACAGTGCTGCCAGAAAAAATTTCGTTTGGAGTCGAAAAAAGAGCTTAAAAGATCTAAATAATACTAACAACTTCCCTGTCCTCATACAATGCATTTTGTTAATCTAAAATCTAAAGTAATCGGGCTAATTGCCTTTAACTTGTAAAATACTGTTAACGCTGTTTTTGGTTTGTCTGCGCCGCTTGCGCAGCATAAGCTGTTTTTTGTCTCTCCTGAATACTTGGGATTTTTTGAGTTGTGACAGTTTTTGATTTAGGGTGCGATATGTATTGCATTGAAGAAAAATCTGTTACGTCCGTTAAACATTTTAATTCAAAATAAAGCCAACAAAGAATTGCTTCTGATGAAATATGATTTGGTTGTAATGGTCCGTAATTTGACTTTATTTAGATAATGTTTAAGAAAGGAAAACCCCCAGGACTCGCAGAGTTTTACTTATTCTTACATGTACTCTGAAACCACTTCTGTTTTCGTCACATCCCTTCCGTTTTCGTATCATTTATTTAACAATAAATTCAAACAATTAGTTTTTGAGGAAAACGCATTTTACGTACG